GTCCGGACGAGGCCCCCCAAGGGAAGCATGCTTATCCTGCAACCACGTTGTCGTAGCAATCAGGTCGTGAAAGCCATTCATATTGCCGACGACTGCAGTCACCGCGCGCTTGTCGATGATGTGCCCCATGCGATCTTGGCCAGCTGGATGCTGCGCGGGTAACTTGGGCCGCGTATTTTTCGATGTGTTCGCGGATCGTGTTCTCAAGCGACTCGCTGGAAAACGCTTGGTGAGTACAGAGTTCTCCGCATAGAAGCTCCAACTTCTCCACACGGATGTCCGTCATGCTCATGTGGCTCCCGAGGGAGTCCAAGCGTTCGGAAAGAATCGTGCTCAAGTCCGTCAGGTTGCTGTCCATCCTGCGGAAGTTCTTCCTCAGGTCTTCCATTGCAGAGGTCACCAGGCCCAGCTGCTGCTGGAGCTGCTGCTGAATGAGGATCGCAATTCTCTTCATGGTGACCAGGCCCTCTTCACGATGTCCTTCCTGGGGGAAAGGAGGAGGCGGACGAAAGGTCTCCGTTGTCATATGCCCGTCCGTCTCGTTGAGCGGACTGTGGATGTGGTGTACCTTCGCCTCGCGACCCTTGGGAGTGTCATCGAACGGGTTCGAGAAGAGCTTGCCCACTGGAGTATCTGGAAGCTTCCTGCTTCTGGACGTTTCGCCCTCTATTGAGTCTGGGATGTGCTGCGCGAGCTCGTCTTCCAAATCGACCGAAGACGCAAAAACGGCAGCATTGGCAGCCTCGGAGGCCGCTATGGACGGCGTAATGGGGGTGATGCGAGTCGTAAGGATGCGGGCTCACCGCTGCCCCAGGCAGGGCATTTGTGCGGTAAGCTTAACGAGAACGCGAGAATCCGTCAAAACGCTTTGGAAATCAAGGATTTGGGCTTCGGATCCTGCATCTTGGAACCCTCTTTGGCCGTACTGGGGGCCTCGTGTGCCGTCTTGAGGCAACCTTGGGCTGGCTTGGGGGCCTGTTAGGTCTTGGAGCCACCTTGGGCCATCTCGGCGGCCTTGATGGCTTGTCTGGGCAGTCTTGGAAGCCATCCTGGGAATCCTGGAGCCCCTGCAGAGCGCCAGGGGGGCGTCGGGGCGCCCAGGACCCCTCGGGATGGAGGGTGCGATGTGTGCCCCTGAGTGTGGCCAGGAGACTTCTGTTTGTGGCTTGTTGAAGAGTTTTTTTCTTCCTCCCCAATCAGAGCTTGCCTCTGTAGGGGTCCTAGCGGATTCATATGGTTAGGTGATGTGGGCCGCCGATTTCGGTGGCCGGCCCGGGTGCCCGGGGGTGCCGGAGGTGCCCAAGGTTGCTCGGAGATGCCCGGGTGCCCGGGTGCCCGGGGGTGCCCGGAGGTGCCCAGGGGTGCCCAGTGGTTTGTTGAACATATTTACAGACACCCTACCATACAGCATTTGGCAGTCCACTACGCTTCAACATGTGCCAGGTGGCACGGTGTCGAATCAATCGGACTCTTGCCGTTTTATCAGCCAAAGGGTGAGAAGTAAGGGGACTGGCCTCTGAGGGTAATGTCTTGCGGTTTCTTTTCGCAGAAGAGTACAAAGGGTCGTCTTCGAGTGAGGCTCATGATTCTAAGAGCAGCTGTTCGGCCCTGGTCGTCTCGTTGGTCTACGAAAGATCCGTTCGGCCGCTCCCAGCCACATCCTCAGCCTCAGTCGGGGACGGGCGGGCATGGGCGAAGTGGTCGCAGTTACTGCCATGGAGTATGTCAGCCTTATCGTTGTACAAGCAGTGGCCCCCGCCCCCCCCCCCACGTCCACGCCCGAGTCCACAGCCGCGTCCGCATTCACATCCACATCCACCCTGTCCTCCCTGCCCGTGCCCCTCCTCCTCCTTCTCCTCCTCCTCCTTCTCCTCCTCCTCCTCCTCCTCATCCGTTGCTGTTTTGGCTCACACAGTCTTGTGCTCGAGCTGTTCGGCCCGAAGGCCTTTGCGGACGCCCTCCCGCGCCCAGCGGGCGCACCTGCTAGACCTTTGCGACAGTGGCCCCGATTCGCAGCGCTGCCTTCTGCTGCCGTCGCAGGCGCTCGTGGCCCCCCCGGCCGACCGTACGTCTTGCGCCAGCCACGTGGCCATGGGAGCAGCGGAGAACACGGGTGGTGGCGAACCACTGTCTGACCTGCTGATGGTGTACATGGACGCCCCCATGGAAACAGCCGCGAAATCGGGCGAGAGTGCGGTCGTCACGAAGGGCGTGGGGTCGATGGATGCGGAGATGAAGTTCGAGCTGACGTGAACGCGCCGGGCATCGATATGATCAGTGAGGCTGAACACATTGGGCCCGTTGGAGTTCATCGTGTTCCCCTAGAGCATCGTGTTCCTCGCCAAGGAGAGGCACCACCATCAGCTGAGGGCGATCTGCGAGAAGCACGTGTCGCACCTCTGCAATCGCGAGAGTATCGATCCCGTTGCCGCTGCCGCGCTCTCAGCAGCGAAGCTCGCGGACGAGCAGGTCAATCAGATCAAGACGAAGATGGCGGCGCAGCCCCAGGTCCGCGACATCAAGCTCATCCAGAGTGTCGAGCGAACCTCGTCAGCGGCTTCAAGATCGGGTGGAGCGACACGGACCTGGCAGGCCCACGGGTAGGCTCCCGGTCCGTCTCCTCCAGGTGTTGCGGGGCGGGCTGCACCATGGAGAGACCCCGGCGTTCCGCTGGCCGTGGGACAGTGCCCTCCCCTCCCGCCCCCCCCGCCCTGCCTCTCTCTCCCTCGCGTCCGTCCCTCCCTCCCCTCCCTGCCCTCCTCCTGGCCGATGTGGTCTCTGCTCTCTTCAAGTCCTGGGCGCCTGGGGGGCCCCGCCGCGTCCCCTGCTCGTCAGCGTCGACCAGGCGCGGCCTGGCTGCGCTCAGCCAAGGGCGCACAGTCATCGTAAGATCAATGACCATATCCCCCCCCTCCCATCTCCATCACCACCACTCTCTTCCCCCTCGCCCTCCTCCATCACCTCCGCCTCCGATTCCCTACATTCTCCTCCATCTCCCCCCCTCCCTCTCTTCCCCCGTGCCGATGAGACCCAGCATACTCGTTCGTTGGCCGCTGATTGTGACCCCTCCAAAGTCAACAGGCATCGGCGCGATTGCATCGACTGGTTTCGCCGATTACGTCCCAAGGCGGGAGCGAGCACGTGGCGTCCGCTTGATCTGATATTGTTGAGGGATCCGATGCTCCGATACACCCCTCCTGCCCCTCTCCCTTCGCCTCCTCCGGCTCCCGCGCCCCTGCTGCGATGGCGGCAGTGCGCCCTCTCCTCCGCGCCCGCGCCCGCCCCCCCGGGGGGGTTCGTGGGGGTTGTCGGAGCTTGCGTGTCGCGATCTCCCCCGCAGACGCCGTGCCAGAAACTGGCCGGGGGTCCGAGCCAGGAAAGCGAGCGAGCAGACGCGGGCCAGACCCAGGGAACTTGCTCGACCGAGGAGGGGGAGGAGGAGGAGGAGGAGGAGGAGGAGGAGGAGGAGGACCAGTGTAAACCCACGAGTCATCAACGATGTTGGAATAAACCCTCCCTCCAAGCACCCTCTTCACAGGGCCCCACAACGGTTCATTTCCACAGGGAACTGCCTCGTTGGAAGACAACCTTGTGAATATCCTGAAGCATGTCAAAACATTGTTCTCAGGATTCCAACTCCACGGATCAACCTGACTGTTGCGTCTTGACGATCTTGTTACGTGTGAGAACGCCCTCCCGGGGACTTCAACACTGCGAATCAACGTAATCGTTGAACCCTCATAATCAGGAATCCTTCCAAAATGCCATTTCTGGTATGTTGATCATGGGAATCCGTGGAACTCTTACACATTTAATAACGAATGTGCGCGGCGCTAAAGCGAGATCCACATTTTGAAAAGGAGCCGCCCTGAATCCGTGAAGTTCCAGCAAGTTTTTCCAACGAATGTGCGCGGCGCCAAGGCGAGGGCCACATGTTGAAAACCACCCGCCCTCAATCCGTGAAACTTTTGCATTTTGTTGAAACGAATTAAGGCGAGAGCCGCATTTTCAAAAGGAACCGCCCTCAGTTCGTGAAGCTCTTGCATTTTTCCCAACGAATGTACGCGGCGCTGAGGCGAGAGCCACATTTTGAGAACTACCCGCCTCCACTCCGCGAAACTCTTGCACTCTTTTACACTGAATTTGCGCGGCGCTAAGGCGCGAGCCACATTTTGAAAACCACCCGCCCTCCAACTATGACACTGTTGCCATTTTTCAGCTTCAGGGTCAGCAATGGTGAGGAGGTCTCAGGCAAAACGCCTGGCCCGCCCTAAAACTTGCCTCGGGGTGCTACAGGGGAGGAGGAGGAGGAGGAGGAGGAGGAGGAGGAGGAGGAGGAGGAGGAGGAGGAGGAGGAGGAGGAGGAGGAGGGGAGGAGGAGGAGGAGGAGGAGGAGGAGGAGGAGGAGGAGGGGAGGAGGAGGAGGAGGAGGAGGAGGAGGAGGAGGAGGAGGAGGAGAGAGGCGGAGGCGGAGGCGGAGGCGGAGGCGGGCGGAGGCGGAGGCGGAGGCGGAGGCGGCGGCGGCGGCGGCGGAGGCGGAGGCGGAGGCGGAGGCGGAGGCGGAGGTGGAGGTGGAGGTGGAGGCGGAGGCAGAGGCGGAGGCGGAGGCGGAGGCGGAGGCGGAGGCGGAGGCGGAGGCGGAGGCGGAGGCGGAGGAGGAGGAGGAGGGAGGAGGAGGAGGAGGAGGAGGAGGAGGAGGAGGGAGGAGGAGGAGGAGGAGGAGGAGGAGAGAGGAGGAGGAGGACATGGGGAGGCACTTTCGACTGCTGTCAGGCCCTGGCCGCGGGCCGTGTGGCTGCGGCCAGGGGCACCGACTCTCGGATCGTCCCACTTCTCGGCCCGGCTGCGTCTCCTGCCCCTGTCCGCGCTTCCTTGTCGCCTCTCGCTTTGGTACTTCGAGCCTGCCCCGCTGCCTGCTCAGCAGCTTCTTGCCGCGTTGGCTCCTCGTGCCCCCCTCTGACGAAGGCCCCAGAACGAGAGAGGCCCGTCCGCCGCCGGAGGTGGGCGTGGAAGTGCGGGACCACGAGGGAGAGTCGGTTATCTGCGCCGGCGAGTGCCCTTTCGCAGCGCGCCTTGCAGCGAAGCATTTCGAGCGCACAGGGCGGAGATCAAATCCCCCCTGGGGGTACAGGCTTCGGGGGGGGAGAGGGGCTTCTCCCTCTTCCCCACCGAGGCTTGCGCCACGGTCCGGCTTCGAAACACTTCGAATGAGGGTGAGCGTCGGTGTTGACGCGGGGCTCTAAGTGGTCACACACTGAGGTAGCTGTGATCCTCAGTGATAGCTGTTGATGCAGAATCGGCTTTGTACATCCCTTGTATGAAGCTGTATTCATATATAGATGGAGCTGGTTTCATGTTGAAGTCGTTTCTCCCAGCCGGAGGGAAGGTTTAAGTGTCTTTCTTCCCCCTCGCAGTGACCGGTGCGACCGTGCCTTTAGCTTTCGGGCGCAAGTGGCCGCAGTTTTTTGCCTCTCCCGCCTCACCCCCTGGAAGAGCATTTTTTTTGACGGGAGCGTGTAATGCCCTCGTTCCACCCGTCCTCTGCCCCCGTCCCGTACCCGCCCTCTCATCCCTTGGGGGGCGAGGAAGGGGGCGGGAAGGGGCAGGGTGGGAGACCTGGGCCGGTGGGGGCAACAGGCGGCTCCCGAGCGGGTGGGGGTTTTCGGCGGTGGACAGACCTCCTACTCTGACACGTCGCTTAAGGAATTGGCCGTTTTCGGTTCGCGAGAGGGCGTCGCGGCCGTCATTTTTGCGGGTCCAGGCCCGTCGGTTTCGGTCCCAGGCCGTTTTCACTAAAGGGAGTTTTGCTAAAGGGAGGTTTGTCCACCGCCGAGGTTTCTGAACTACTGAGCCATCTTGCCGTGGCGGCGGGCTTCGGGGCACAGCAGGGAGAGACGAAAAGCACCATGAAGCACACGCCTCCTGCTGGCGCCTCAGCCAGTGCTGGCGCGGCGTCGCAGCAAAGTTGTCCACGAGGCTTACGCCATTCCGCCGATCCCCAGAAGAGGCGGGGAGTCCACAGTTGAGGCGTCGTGGGCTTCTTGGGCACTATCTGGGGACTCTTGTGGGCGTCTTGGGAGCTGTTTCTGGGGCCTGGTGGAGCCTCTTGGAGTCGGTTTTGAAGCGTCTTAGGGGCTGTTCTTGGGCGCCTTTTGAGCCTCTTTGGGGCCACTTGGGGCTTATTGGGGACCTCTTTCAAGCCGCTTGCCGGCGCCTCAACCAGTGTTGGCGCAGCGTCGCAAGAAAGTTGCCACCGTGGGGGTGGTTTTTGGGATGTCTTGCTCCTCGGGCTTCTTGGGGGCGTCTTTGAGCATGATTTGCGCCTCTTGGGGGGTCATCTTGGGGCGGAGGGCGCGACATGTCAGTTCGAGCTCCCCCTTTAGGGGCCCTCTTAGAGCCGTCTTGGGGCCGTCTTGGGCCGTCTTGGGAGCCTCTTTGGCCGTCTTACGGCCCTCTTGGCGGCCTGTTGGGCCGTCTTGGGGGCGATCTCGGGGTCCTCTTGGGCCGTCTTAGAGCGTTGAGGGCCCGAAAATGTGAGCGCGAAAATTAGTCAAACATATGATGGAAATCAATCATTTTGGCTTCTCTGGGCTCTTGGGTTGCTCCTTGCTCCTGGGGCTCTTTTGGGGCGTTTTGGGAGCCTGCTGGGCTGTTTTGAAGCCATCTTGCGGGTCTGTGGGCGACCTTTGGGCGACTCGGGGCCCTCTTGGGCTGTCTTGGGTGCCTCAGGGGCCTCTTCCTCCCAGAAGAGGTGCGCGGCAACACGCGCCAAGCCCCAAGAGCGCTTGGAAGCGCCTGGGATCGCCCAGAACTCGGGGCTGTGGGCCTCCTAAAGAGTATGGACATATTCAATGCAGAGGTCTCTAGGGGCGGTGGCGGATTTACAGTCTACATGCATTTTCAAATGATTTGCCGGCCATTTGCTTGCAATTGTTCTAGGCTTAGAGCGGTCCATCCGCGTTTGCGCGGCTTACGCACATCTGAGTGCTTCTACGTAATTTAGCGGTTCCTTTCAGTACGCCCTTGGCGGTCTCGCGCCGCGCCTCTCATTGCAGCGTGCATCTCAGGTCCCCCCTGGCACCTCTCAGTTCCTAGTTACGATCGAGAGTACGTCTCAGTACATGTTCAAGCAATTCTCCATCGCCCCTCTGGAATTTCAAGCACGGCCAAGACATGTAGTATTTGTTTTCTCCCTTCGCATTCCAAGGTTTACGTGCTCTCTTCGCATGGATCGCTAGTGTCAGGCAATTGTGACGATGGCATTGTGCGAATGGCTACCGATTTCGGTTGTGCTTTCTAGAGTTTCATTTGACAGCGTTCTACTGCAGAGGCGTTTTCTGGCATAGTGATTAATGTACACTTCCTTGATGTGTTGTGCGAGGTACGTGGAGTTCGAGCACCTTTGTGTTCCAGCTGACGCTTCGAAGCAACCGGCTCTACGGATAGCGACAGGTGAGCTTCGGATGTTCTCTTCTGCACTCTATCTGATAAGCGAATTGTTTTGGTCGGTGGACTGATCCTTACTTCTGCTGCTGCTGCTCATGAAATGTCTTTCTCCTCCTCGGCCTCCCGATCTTCGTCCCCGCTGTCATCCAAACCCTCCGTCGTTGCCAGAAACCTAGACGTAACATTTGACCACGGGAAAATCTTAATTTCATTGGTACGCTTGCGTCAGGCTTTTCTGGAGCCCGCCCAAACCACCTCTGCACAACTTGTGTTAGGGATCGCAAGGTATGGGAGTCGTGCTCCCCAGTAGTCCGTCCAGGTGGTTGTCGCTATCATTATCGTCTGCCGCTTCGCAGTGATTCTGATCGTCATCGCCTTCGATTACTCATATTAGAGTTTTCGTGGACAGCTGCAACGTCGTATATAGGAACTTAGACAGGTGGGCGTGCCCCACCCACACGCTCCAGCCCTCTTTCTAAGAGGGATGGAGGCACTGCCCGTACCTTGGAGATCGACGCTTGCGCTGCTAACCGCTCTCCCTACGCACTAGATAACTCGTTGGCTCGCATCCCGTACCCTGCGGGCTTGGACCGGGACATGTCAGAATATTGTGCGTGCAGTTCTTGACTTCAGAGTTGTCTGTCTTCGATGCTGGCGGCCATTCGCCTTGCAGCGTCCCCACTTAGGCTTCGACCTTGCTGTGCGTCCGCCAGCGCTGCGACTGGAAAGTCTTCGATGGTGCCTTGATGGCGACAAGAAGGGCCCACCGGCCTCCGCAGCGCAGGCTATCGAGGTCGAGAGGTCGGCTGGACAATGGAGCACATGGAAGTCTTGCGCGAAGATCTCCCAGGGGTTACGAGAACTGCTCTAGTAGCCTGTTCGGCTTCGAACTTGCTGGAACGCTTACGCAATATGGTGACAGTCATCCGCCGCTGGAAGGACGTCGTGGGATTGATTTTGTACGTATCCAAGATTCTAGCGTGAAGCTGTGCGAGCCCGCAAGCGTAGGCGAACTCTCAAGCTTCATTCTTCTCTCAGCCAGTGCGGATGCTTGTTCAGACCCACCCGCGTCCCACTGGGGTGCAATCCTTCGTCAGACCACCTACCAGTCATCCTCCAGATAGCAATCGTGATTCTGTCAAGTATTCATCAGTACCCTCGTATCCTCGTGATCTCCCTATTTCTCTGACGTCTCTTGCACAGGCTGCGTGCAAGAGCGTACTCGCCAGGAGAACTGGGCCTGCTGCAGTGTAGAGAGAGAGAGAGAGAGAGAGGCAGAGAGATGGAGTCATGCGCACGGCCTACTTTGCACGATGCGACTCAAGGCTTGAGAGGCCCACAACCTGTGCCACTATCATATCTGTTGTCTACAGCTGCGCCTCTTTTTTTTTTTTTTCTCTCTCTCTCTCTCTGTCTCTCTCTCTCTCAGTCTCCCTCTCTCTCTCTCTCTCTTTTCTTCTCTCTCTCGCTCTCTCCCTCTCTGTTCGCAACTCCTCATGCCACTCTTTCCTACTTCACCTCCTGGGTCCTCCTCGTCCTCTCCACATTCTACTTCACAGAGCGTGTGGGAGCCCTTTCCAGTGGGCATCCGTTGTTCACCGTGTCTTGTCTTGCCAAGTCCGCTATCGGTCGGACTGTGTGGGTTCCTTGGGCTCCTTCGTCTTGCCTTGTTGTCCCTATCGGTGTGCGTCGTGGTATTCTTAGTGCGCCATGCACTACCGGCTGCACCGTCTGTTCCTGTTGCGATGGACCTCGTTGTAGCGCCCGCGTGTCCGCGTCACTGCTGAACCTTACGCTGCGGTGCTTCGGCAGCAGAACCCTGGCGTCCGCCAGCCGGACCACCAATCTCGCCGCAGAGTACCCTCGGCACTGACGGCAATATCGCACAAGATCCTGGGGGCGACCCTGCACCAGCCGGAAGGCAGGGTGGTACCGCGGCGAGTGTGGTGAGGCGGGCGTGCGCTTGTGCTTTGCCCTCGACATCTGGTGGGCTATCTGCTCTGGTAGTTGCCCCCTCGGTCCCGCCATGGCTTGCCAGAGTCTAGGTCTCACATTAGACGCAGGACGTCCGTGGATCTGAGGTCGAGGGTTGCATTCGTCGCTTCGCCTGAGGCGGGCGCGTTACGCCTTGAGTTGCAGGCTCTTTTTGTCATATGTTCGAGACGCTGCACGCTTTGTTAATTTGGGACAAACAAGCCCGGGTCGCTGGCTGGCTGACGTGTGGAGCCGAAG